AGGACCGCACCAAAGAGAGTCCTGGATACCTTGGTGAGATTTCTTCCGGAAGCCAATCCAAGAGCGCCAAAAATAGTTAAAATCAAATAAGCTCACCAGGCGAAAGGAGTCCAGCGACCGAGGCGTTTATTTGCGATTCAGCTGAATGGATGCAATACAGGAATCATTCCACTGCAAAGCATGCAGCACAAGAGTTTCCAGGCATTTTTATACAGTGTAGAACAAAAGAAAGCAGTTTGAAAATCCCGCCCGCCCCCTGACAGCCGGCTTCACTCTGATTGGCTGAGGCTGGAACAGCTGGGAGGAGGCTTGGCAGCCCGCCTCCGTCAGGAGCCAATGGGAGCGTTTCCCCGCCTCGGGAGGGCCAATGGGCGCCCTCCGCTCGCTTCCGAGGTCCTGGCCAATCAGGAGCGTGGAGGCGGGACAGCCGCGGACAAAGGGGGAAAGATGATGGGATTTGGGATTACCTGCCCGCTGGAATGCGGGCCATTGTCCAAGGCGGGAAGAGGGTGATATTTGTCAAACAAAGGCTTTCCTGTTCTTAACGAGTCTGGCGGGTGATCTGAATAGCTGGATCGATACCGGACCGCCCGGAGGATCAACAGTATCTGGTTGATGTAATCAGTCCTTTTCTTTCCGGGGCTCTGCTGACCCAACCCTCCTCCGTTGGCCTTGCTCCGATGACGGAATCGGGGGGGCCAGCAGCATTGTCCATGCAAAATGAGTCAATCAATGGGTGATTTGGGGGAAAGAGGCTTGGGCTCTTTCCCCCAGGCAGTTCCTGGTCATGCTGGCTTTATGGGGTGAGGGGTCAAGGGGGTGAAGGTACAGGGGGTTCATTGAGGGATACATATTTCATATTTATAAAATACAGGCATCACCAATAAAATACAGGCATTTCATGTGTCACAACCCACCACCCATCCCAATCCATTACATTCTTAAGAAAATATTTTATTTATTTCATAAAGAAGAAAAGCAAGAAGTCCCGAAAGTCCGGACGGAGGGGTTTGGATGCAGGGGCCAGCCTATGGTTTAGGCTGGCCATCAGAAGATCAGTTCACTTGTGAAACAGGAGCTGGAGCTGAAGGGGGAGCTACGTTCCACGGACCCGTCCTTGGTGGAACTAGCGCTCCCAACCGGGGATCGGGCCTCCCCTGCCCGGTCCCCACTTCCAAGGCTTCCCCTTGGGCCACGGCGGTGGATCGCAGGCGGCAGGAACCATACTGGAGCGAGCGGCAGCAGTGGAAAGGACCAAACGGCAAAAGCCGGCGAATTTGACAATCAGCTGGTGACTCGGCCGAATTTAATGATTAAACAAAAACAATTATTTCACGAGTGCAGGAGTCCAAAATGGGAAAACCGAGATAGCAGTTAGTCTTAAAAGTTAATGTAGAAGAATATAAAATTTGAACGGGCCCGATCCGCCATGTTGTTGTTTTGGCGGATAAGGGGGGCCAATAGGTAAACCTCCGTATCCGCGATTTGAACTAACGCAAATTCGGAGGCCTGGGGAGGCCAGGAAGGCGTCCCCAGTGAGCTCACGGTTCCCCGGAGCTCAGAAAAAGGTTTATTGTGGGTTAGAAAAGTTGCAGTCAGTGAAGGGACACAAAGTATCAAGCGGAAAGGATTCAAAGTTTCTAAACTTAAGTGTTTTATTAAGGGATTTGTTACAAAGAGAGGGAGAGGGGAAAGTGAAAGAAAAGCTTCATGCAGTCCTTCGTTTTGAGCTGCTGGCTGGGGCATATTCCATCAGTCGGACCCAACTTTGTTCTCCGGAACTGCGGAACTCCCTGCTGTGGTTCAAACCAACTTGAAGGCGGAAGTTTCTGCTGCCTGGGGGGTCATCATAGTTGTGTTATAGTTGTGCCATTGTTAGGATCCCATGTGTGCTATTATGTCAATCAAAATCATAAACCACCAATGAGCAACTGTACAGCTAGCTTAAACTAATGAAATGATTTGTCCATAAATCCCTTCTACATTGTTATATAGAATCCAGATTACCTGCTTTGAACTGGACTATATGGGAGTGTAGACTCATATCCAATTCAAAGCAGATAATGTGGATTATCTACTTTGATAATCTGGATTATATGGCAGTGCAGAAGGAGCCTCAGTAAGGCGGCACCTACGGGGATAAATGTAGTTCCTGGTTGCTTGAGAGTTATGATTTAAAATAAGCCTAATTGTGGTATGGTACAATATACCCCAAATAATAGCCACCACATCTTTTTTTCCATTTCTAAACTCCAATTAAGTATCCTGTATCCAAAATACGCCAAAGTTCAAAATTGCCCACATGGGTAAAATGGGTGGCCAAAATACGCCAAAATTGCCCATATGGGTGGCCTTTGCTTTCTGATGGTTCAACGCACACACTCTTTCTTGCACAAAATTATTTTTAAAAATTGTGTGTTAAATTACCTTTAGGCACTGTACAGTATACAAAGTGTATATAAAATATATAAATGAATGTTTATGTTTAGACTTAGGTCCCTTCTCCAAGATATCTCATAATATATTCATGGAAAAACTCCAAAATAATGCCAAATGAGGATTTTGGATAAGGGACACACAACCAGTACTATCTGGAGGCAAAGTGGGATTCTTGGTATAGGATCTCTACATCCAAAATTGTTTCTGTGTAGGGATACCATCCCACTTCCCCTTTTTAGCCTACATGAGTCTGTGAAGGGGGAGTTTCAGACTTACAAGGGTTTGCGGGGAAAGGTTTTTAACACTAGATTTAAAAAAAATGTAGACGCTGGGTTTCCCTGAACATATATGTATTTCCCCCTCATTTCTTAGTGATTGTCTTCTTCCTTTAGTTCTGCTGGCATTCAAACGACCTGTGTTTGTTAATAAAATCTTGACATGTCATTGATTATGAGTGCAGAATCAAAGACTGATAATCAGACATCTTCCTATGCGCTGGAACAAATCTTGCATTCTTTAGTCATTGACTGGGATATAATAACTGTGTATCAAAATTTGAAACATTTTCTGTTCCTGGTTTGAAAGTGTTATTTCCTGTTTAATTGTGCAGTATTTGCTTTGAAAGTCATTGTTAGATTTCAGAAACTTCATTTTTGTGGCTGCCACGAACTATGTTGAATTGGTTGAGACTATGAGATATTCATTGAAAAACTATCGGAAAATGTGCTGCAGGATGTCCCGCAAAAACAAGGTTTTTGCAGTTTAGAAAACTTTTTCCATGTTTCAATGATAGAACCAATTAGGAAATGTCATTTATAACCCAGGAACAAAAATAGTGTTAAGGTAAAGGTTTTCCTCTGACATTGAGTCTATTTATTTATTATTTATTTACAGCTTTTATATTCCGCCCTTCTCACCTCGCAGGGGACTCAGGACAGATTACAGTGTACACATATATGGCAAACATTCAATACAATTTTTGACATACAAACATATACAGACATACACAGAGGCTATTTAACTTTTTCTGGCCACCAGGGGAGCTGTCGCTTTCATCGTCCATCTGCGACGCTGATGAAGCACTTCTGCATTCCCCGCATGCTTCCCCGCTGGAATGCTTTGCTGGAGTCTTCTTTATGGCCTCATAAATCAGTTAATTTAGCCTCCCCACACTTTAAGGTGGTACCTTATTTTCCTACTTGACAGATGCAACTGTCTTTCGGGTTGCAAAGGTTGACAACAGGCTACACATAATTGGTTGGAAACCCACTCCAACCCGGGCTGGCTTTGAACTCATGACCTTTTGGTCAGAGTGATCTTAATGCAGCTGATACTCAGCCAGCTATGCCACAATCGATTGTTTAAATCGTTTTTATGTATTGTTTGTTTAATTGATTCAGGCATCGAATTGTGCCTTTGTTTGTAAGCCGCCCTGAGTCCCCCCTCGGGGGTGAGAAGGGCGGGGTAGAAGTAATTGAAATAAATAAATAAATAAATAAATAAATCCCGGTCGTGTCCGACTCTGGGAGGTGGTGCTCATCTCTATTTCTAAGCCAAGGAGCCGGTGTTGTCCATAGACACCTCCAAGGTCATGTGGCCACCATGACTGCATGGCATGCCGTTACCTTCCTGCCAAAGTGGTACCTATTGATCTACTCACATTTGCATGTTTTCGAACTGCTAGGTTGACAGAAGCTGGGGCTAACAGCAGGAGCTCCCCCTGCTCCGCAGTATCGCACTGCCAACCTTCCGGTCAGCAAGTTCAGCATCTCAGCAGTTTAACCCACTGTGCCACCGGGGGCTCCCAGTGTTATATAGTGCAATTTAACACACTGAGGTTAAGATACCAATGCATACAGTAACATCTGTTAAAAAATCAGAAATGTTTGTTAACCATATTAAACTGCCAAGAATACAGGTATAACCCAAACGGAAGGTATTCATTTCACCCTTGTAAAAAGGGATTGTCGTGGATTGTTGTGATGTGCTTTGAGGTAATTTCTGACTTAAAGGGAACCTATCACTGGGTTCAGGGCGGGGGGATTCCCTTTGCCTTCCTCTGAGGCTGAGAGAATGTGACCCTTCCCATGGCTGACCAGACTCCAGCCCTGGTCTTGCAGAATTGTAATCTAAGGCTGTAACCACCACAGCACTGGCCCTTGTCATGAATAAGGACGCTGAAGCTGTTAATCATTGCAAAAGTATGACCACCGCACTGGGCAAAAATGCTTCTTTGGAGACAAGAGAGAAGGGCGCTTAAACACACTGCTCCCTCGCGCCTGCGTACAGAGACTGTAGGCCACTCGCTTCCTAGATTGGTGCAGGAATCCAAACTAGAGCAGGCAGCGAAAGGGTTAATTCAAGCCCCGCCCCTTTTCTCTCTGCAGCCCGCCTCTCCTTTCCTCCCGCCACTCCGCAGGCTTATGAAGTGGGCGGGGCGCCCAACAGGAAAAAGGTGCCACTGACCAGGACAGAGCGCATGCGCAGAAAAAGAAAGGGGCGGGGCTTGGGTGAGTGGTATGAAAGCCCTGGGAAGGGAGGCGGGGCTGCAGAAAGGTTGTGGGTCAGGCAAGGTACAGGAAGGAATGTAGGTGGGGAATAGTGGAAGGGTAAGGAGATGTCTAGAGTTCAGGGGTGTTTCTACAGTTTGGCACCATTGTAATGCTCATGGACCAACATTATGGAATCATAGGAGCCCCCGGTGGTGCAGTGGGTTAAACTGCTGAACTGTTAAACTTGTTGACTGAAAGGTTGCAGGTTCGAATCCGGGGAGTGGCATGAGTTTCCACTGTCAGCCCCAGCTTCTGCCAACCTAGCATTTTGAAAACATGCAAATATGAGTAAGTCAATAGGTACCGCTTTGGCGGGAAGGTTACGATGCTCCATTCAGTTATGTTGGCCACATGACCTTGGAGGTGTCTATGGACAACGCTGGCTCTTTGGCTTAGAAATGGAGATGAGCACCAACCCCCAGAGTCAGACATGACTGGACTTAATGTCAGGGGAAAACTTTTACCTTTAGCAGCTATAGGGTGGTGATCCAGCAGCAGTCTGTGGTAGATAAATGATAAGACCTTGTAAAACCACAACTCCCATGATTCCACAGCGTTTAATCATGGTAGTTAAAGTGGTGTCAAACTGCATTAATTCCACTGTGTAGGGTACACCCCTGGTTGAGTATCCTTTATCTGAAATATTTTGAGGTGTTTTGAAGTTGGGAATATTTGGATGTACACATTAGATAAACACATTTTTAAAAAAATGTTTCATACATACCTAATACAGTAGAGTCTCACTTATCCAACATAAACGAGCCGGCAGAACGTTGGATAAGCAAAAATGTTGGATAATGAGAGATTAAGGAAAAGCCTATTAACGTCAAATTACATTATGATTTTACAAATTAAGCCCCAAAATATGTTTTACAACAAATCGACAGAAAATGCAATTCAATACATGGCAACATGTAGCAATTACTGTATTTGTGAATTTAGCACCAAAACATCGCAATATATTGAAACAGCTGTGGATCCGAGTGGAAGGCAGACTGCGTTGGATAATACAGAAGGTTGGGTGAGCGAAGATTGAATAGGTGAGACTATACATAATTTGGAGGTCATTTTATACACAATATTTGTAATAATTTTGTGCATGAAGCAAAGTTTATGTGCACTGAACCATCAGAAGAGGTGGCAGTATCTCAGGTGTCCATGTGGACAAATTTGGATTGTGGAGTATTTTGGATAAAGGATTTCCAACTGGTAGTGCAGGGGGTTAAACTGCTGAGCTGTTGAACTTGCTGACCATAAGTTCGGCGGTTCGAATCTGGGGAGCAGATTCGACCTAGCAGTTCAAAAACATGCAAATGTGAATAGATCAATAGATACTGCTTCAGCAGGAAGGTAACAGCACTCCATGCAGTCATACTGGCCACATGACCTTGGAGGTGCTATGGACAACGCTGGCTCTTCGACTTAGAAATGGAGATGAGCCTTACTTCCCAGAGTCGGACACGACTAGACTTAATGTCAAGGGGAAACCTTTACCTTTAACAGGAGGCAGTAGTTGCAAAGGGCACTTGCTGATCTTGTAGTTTTCCCCAATATATATCTTAATTAAAATAAAATTATGTTTTACTATGATTGCTTCAATTAATACTCAATATTAGCTTGTATTTCAATTATATCTGGTTTTTAATTGCCTTGTGAACGGCCTTGAGTCTCAGGACAGGGAAAAGGCAGGATATAAATCAAATAAATATATATAAATCGACATGACTGGGTTCCAGAGAAATCAATATGTCTACCAATAAAGTGAGGAATTGCTCCTGAGAGGGAATGGAATAAGTCACAGAGACAGAAATGAAATGGGGTTGGTTCTACTGCTCTTTTTTGTTCATGCTTTATTGTCTTAAATTTGAGTTTGATGTTTGCTTTAATATGATTGATTTTTATCATGTGTGCCACTTTGGAAAGTGGCAAAAGAGTCTGTAAAATAAATGAATAACAAGTCTTAGGACAGTGCTTTTGAGGGTATCTGATGTCAGGGATTGGCAATTATTTTTATCTGGTGTACCAGGGACCAGCAACATATTTGTGTTCAACTGTTTCAGTTGCTTCTTTCCTTGAAAGTCATCAGGATTCAGCAGCCAATAGCTTGGGAACTGGCATCAGTTTGAAGATCTCTACTTTGAATTGTACTAGCCAAGGTGCATGTACACTGTATAATTAATGAAGTTTCCCATGGGCCAATGCAATGGAATCATGAGATTTGTGGTTTTACAAGGTTTTTCACCTTCTCTGCCAAATAATGCTCGTGTCTCCACAAACTACAATCATTCCATCAATCAATCAACCCCATCATTCTATAGCATTGAGTTGTGGAAGTTAAGATGGTGTGAAACTGTATTAATTATACAGTGCAGGTGAAGCCTTAGACCACTACATTAAACATAAAAATCTAAAATAGGAAGATGATAACATACTAATAGCAGAAAATAGCAAACACCAGAACATTATTAAAGAAAGTTGTGAGAAAGTTCAAAGGCAGCTTTACAGTTGTAGATGAACAAAAATAATAACTTTAGCTGATTTGCACTACTTTAAAATAGATGACGAAGTCATAGAAGTAGTTCAAAATTTCACATACCTTAGCCCAGTCATTCACCTATCGAGAAATCAATCATATTCAGTGGTACTACTGTCGTGTTACAAACCCAGAAAAAATAACAAGTTTGCAGTCCTCATCCATTCTCTGACACATATAATTTATTAGGGTAACCAAGGCTATTTCTGACACCAAATAAATCCAAAAACCAGACTGAAGTAAGCAATAGTACACTGAGGCCATCGGCTTCTCAAGAATCTTAGTCAAGACGAGTATATGAGACATTGGGCAATTGCTTTCTACCATTTGATTACCTAGATTTGGTTTCTTTAACAGGACCCAGCAACTTGCCTATTTAAAGGATAGCTTGAATTAAGCAATTCGGGAAGCTTTAATCAACTTCTAGGCCCAAATGGTTAGCCCAGACCTGGAAGGTTTTGACTAGAAGGTGGAACAAATACTTTAAAAAACAGGGGCTGGGTTTTAACCCTCCAGAACTTGTGCCCACAACAGACTACTCAAAAGCAAACCTGTCCAAAATAGCATGACTAGATGGTATCCTAGTTGCAGCCAGTTGTGATTTTTCTACATGTCTGGCATCCAGATCTTCTACTCTGCATTCCTAAAAGTAGCATTACCTATTCAGTGACAAGTAGCTGTAACTGTCAGTCTTTCGGCAGGACTTCTTCTCTTGGCCCCTGAAAGATGATAATGTATTGTTGCTGTTACTTTAGAGCACTTAATCTGTCAAAGATGTAACTTCCACTTCTCCTATACTGGGCATTTGGTACCAGACTTCTAGGTTCATTTTGGTGCATACAGTGTTCAATCCAGATCAACACTTGTAAAGTTCCAGTGATACGTAATCTTGAAAATGACCTTCAAGTCTTGGATTTATTTATTTTGTAAGAATTATCCCATCACCATTTGTCATGTTGTCTGGCCATGTTCCTAGGCAATATAGGATTGATTCAGCTTACTGGCACTCGGAACAGAAGGCTTCAGTAAACTGGACGCCTGACTCCAAAGCCTCTGTGTTTCCCAGTTAATTTCCCACATTTCCCACTTTGAAAGTGCGTTTCCCACTTTAATGGCCGAAAGCAAGGAGGAGCTGAGGAGCCTTCTAATCAAGGTGAAAGAAGAAAGCGCAAAAGCCGGGTTGCAGTTAAACATTAAAAAGTAGAGACATCACACTGGCAACGAAGATCCGCATAGTTAAAGCAATGGTATTCCCCATAGTCACCTATGGATGTGAGAGCTGGACCATAAGGAAGGCTGAGCGAAGGAAGATAGATGCTTTTGAACTGTAGTGCTGGAGGAAAGTTCTGAGAGTGCCTTGGACTGCGAGAAGTTCCAACCAGTTCATACTTCAGGAAATAAAGCCCGACTGCTCATTGGAGGGAAGGATAGTAGAGGCAAAGATGAACTACTTTGGCCATATCATGAGAAGACAGGAAAGCTTAGAGAAGACAGTGATGCTGGGGGAAATGGAAAGAAAAAGGAAGAGGAGCTGACCAAGGGCAAGATGGATGGATGGGATCCTTGAAGTGACTGGATTGACCTTGAAGGAGCTGGGGGTGGTGACAGCCAACAGGGAGCTCTGGCATGGGCTGGTCCATGAGGCCACAAAGATTCGGAAACGACTAAATGAATGAGCAACAACATTGTGAACAGCCTGAGGAGGAGATTGAAGAGGAGAATTGTCACCACTACCTGACTTCAGTATGGCAGTGGTTCTCAACCTGTGGGTCCCCAGGTATTTTGACCTACAACTCCCAGAAATCCCAGCCAGTTTACCGGTTGTTACAATTTCTGCAAGTAGAAGGCCAAAACATCTGGGAACCCACAGGTTGAGAACCACTGCTCTATGGGCAGCCATTGCTTTCCATCTAATCTGAATTAATTGGATCCTGGTGGTGCAACTGATGCTTTGTAACCCTCCATTTATTTCCAAAGGTTGCAGTATCTACAGAAGTTAGAAAAACTGATCATAGCAGCATACATCAGATATGGTGGCAGATGATGAAACTAATGATTTGCTGAACGGGATGTGAGAACAGGAATTTGGAAAGGAGCATGGGAAGACCAACTGTTGACAAGGAGCACCTGGTGTACTTGTCTGCAGTCAATTCTGTTCTGTGGGTTGAAATGCATACCCTAGCTCCTTAGATACTGGCTGAACATGCTTTATCTGGAATTCAAAACCCCAAATCCTCCAATATGATCCACATGTGTGGTTGAGATATGTGATACCTTTGCTTTCTGATGGTTCACAGTACTTCTTTCAAAAAAATATGCCCTCGATGAATATTTGAGCAATGTAGGAAAGAGCATTGCCACCAGTTAATGTTTTTATTTTAGAATCTGACATATGCACCCTTCTATAGAAGGCAGAGGGAAGCAAAAAAGACCCAAGACTTCTGAGTTCCAATTATAGTCGAATTTTAGCGGCTGGCAAGTTACAGTTGTACAGTGACAGATCCAGTACTTGAGAAATGACATAAAATCTTGAACCTTTTTAGCGGAAACATTAGGAGCCAGCAAAACAAGTTGCTGATTTTAGCTTGTGATAAAGACTAGAGCGGAATATAAATAGAGTCTTGTAGTCACATTTTATGTTGGCAGTGCAGAAAGCTTTTTAGCAATGTATTCTACTGAAACTTAAGAATCCGAGTCAAACATCAACATGCTTTTTAAAAAAAATGACACTTTGCATATAGAGATACTAAAGAAGCCTTCCTCAGCATGTTATCCTCAACATGTTTTATCATATAGCTCACAGCATTCCTGACTATTAGCTGGGGCTGATGGAAATTTAAGCCCAAAATATCTGGAAGCCATTAGGTGGGAGAAGCTGTACTTAAGCAAAGCTTTGTTTCGTGAATTCTGATATGATCCATTAACAAATGTTTCATAGACTGTACAATTGGCTTATTAATCTCTCATCAACCAGAGCCATGGAAAGGGGAAGTTCTGTAGATGGCTGTCCTCATTTTCAGGTTTGAATTTTGTGGATTTGATTTTTTATGGATTTGATTAAAATGTTATTTCTTGTAATTTCCATGGCTCTTAGCGCAATTCTATGTTCAGTAGAGATGTGCGAAATGCAAAAAAAAATGTGTTTCAATTCAGAATACCCCCAGTTTCATTTCATAAGTGTTTCTAAACAGACTTGAGGGGTCTGTTTTGTTTTGAATTAAGTGATTATTTTGTTTTGTTATTCTGCCCATTTACGCCAGTGGGAACACTTCTGGTGCTCATTTCTCCATTATTTTTATTACTATTAGGATGAAACGTACTACACTTGTAAGACATACTTATGACTGTAAGCCCCCCAAGTTTCAGAACATTTCATTTTTGGAATTTTAAAAGATTCCAAACATTTTTCAAATAACAACTATAAGAGTTATCCCCTTGAATTTCTCTACCAAGGCATTATTCCTCTAGATTTTAGGAGAGATTCCCATATTCACTGATTTTTAGGGAACTTTTTTCAATTTCACTACCTTGGTTAAGTCACTCTCAGTCCAAGATCTAAATTAATGCACTCAGAAATCTTTTAACCAAGAAACCTTGGCTATTAAAATTTCTCTAAAGGGGACTCACACATTTTCCTCCCCAAAAAAAGGAAATAAAGAACTTTGCAGTATTATAATTTAACCAAATACATTTTTAATATGGCAAAGGAAAGGAGCAAAATGGTTGGTAGAATTATCAAGTGACCACAAAATATTTTGAATATGGGACAATTGCTTTAGGCCTGGCAAGGGATTATTTTTTCCCCTCCCAGAAAAAGGAAATAAATAACTTTGTAGAACTATTAATTACTTTTGTATTTAAAAAATCCAAAGAGAAAAAAATTATAATTGGTTTCCAAATAAAAAATGAACTCTTCATAAACTGAAAATCCCCAAAAATGAATCCTTAGTACAGGGGACCCCCCTCCCCCACTTTGTCTTCTGCAGAGAAGTGGCCCATGGGATTCCTGAATGTGTTACCATCCTGTGGGAGGCTTCTCTCATGTCCCCACATAGGAAACTGGTGCTGACAGGCTGGAGCTGACAGACAGGAGCTCACACCATCTTGGAATTCAAATTGCCAATCTTCAGGTCAACAGTTCAGCCAGCACAAGAGTTTAACCCATCACACCACCACAACTCCAGCTGTGGCTGCTTGCTGACTGCTACTGCTAGGCTAAAAAGCTGGCTGTGGCTACAAAAGCATTGGAGAATAGACCAAAAATGAGCTCCTGATAGCTCAATCTCCCTCTCAGGTGCCTTCTACACAGTTGAATTGTAATCCAAAATATACTTTGGTACTGCCTTTCCATGGTGATAAGATAGCATGCTCTTATGACCTTCAAATATTAAACAGAATAAAGCTTTAAAAGTACACTAATACTATTACAGTGTCAAACTACAATATACAGACCTTGGAAAGAACAAATAGAACAGGAAATCTTTTCCACAGGATCCTAGAAATTAAAGGACAATTTAAATAAGGATGCTATATGATCCATAAGGAAGCACATCACACAACAAGGAAAATATAAAAAGTCAATGGAAGCAATATATTGAAGAACTATATAAAAGAGGTGGTGACAGATCCTTTCAAGGAAGAGCAATTTGAAAATGAAACCACAATTTTAGAAACAAAAGTGGAAAATCCTCCCAAACCACCTTGGACAAATCAATTATCAGGAATAGTTTGCCTGCCAAGAGAGTGGGGTAAAGCAGCAGAATCCACTCAAAATTCTAACAAAAAAGTCAATAAATAGGAAAACAATGGCCCCAGGCTATAAAAATTCAATAAACACTCCATTCCCCAAGAGAGGACACACTAGATATAATAGTAGAATATGACTATTCCACTTATTTCCCAAGAAAGCTTTTAAAGCATATATGGAGTGAAATGCCACATGTCTAAACTGTGTTCAGCAAAAGAAGAGTCACTCATTATCATATTGCAAACATATATGGAATCATTTGATTTTTGGAATGCACCAACAACTATCAGAAATAAATTATCCTGCACTTCATAAATGACAATATAGTTTACAACAAAGTCTTTGACTGTATTGGTCATCAGAAATCATGGTGTGTGCTAAAAGAAATGGGAGTGCCACAACATCTGACAAGAATGCATTTTATCACCTTGTCTACTTAATTTATATGCAGAACATCCTGTATGGAAAGCAAGAGAAGACACAGAAGAAAATGTGAAAAACTGGTGAAAGGACATCAGCAATGTAAGATCTGCAGATGACACCATATTACCTGTCGAAAATAGCAAAGACTTGGAGTGATTACTGATGAAAGTAAAGAAAGAAAGTGCAAAGGGATTACAATTGAACAAGATAAGAAAAATAATGTCCACAGATGATTTACATAAATTTAAAGTGAGTAACAATGCCATAGAAATGTTATAGATTTTCTATACCTTGGATCAATCATTAGTCAAAATGGAGACCACAGTCAAGAAACCAGAATATGACTTAAGACTAGGAAAGGCATCTGTGAAATAACTCAATAAGATCAGAACCATCCAAGCCATAATATTTCCTATTTCTAAGCATGGGTGTTTAAATTGAACAGTGAAGAAAGTTGACAGGAAAAAAATTAATTTATTTGAAATGTTCTGGAGAATAATTGTATACCTTGGATTGCTAAAATGACATATAAAAGGTCATAAAGAAAATCAAGCTCAAACTTGATGACTAAACTGAGGTTGTACCTAGGACATATCATAAGATGATGACTCCTTTGAGATTATAATGTTTGATAAAATTGAATAAAGCAGAAAAAGTGGGAGAGCACACTACAGGCGGACTGTGAAGCCACAGCACTGATCTGCAAGACCTGAACATAGCAGTTGATGACCAGGACTCTTGAATGTCTTTTATTTATAGGGTTGCCATAAGACAGAATCAATGACAGCAAATAAAACAAGAAGAAGAAGTCCAGAGGATCTGGGGGGTTAAATGTTTCCATCCTTGGCCCATTTCCCTTCATTCTGCACATACCTTATAAAGAAATATAAAACAAAGCTTCAAAATATACTTATAGCAGGTGGAATATTTTCTCTGAGGTAGATGACTGTTATATCCTGTCTACAAAATTACCATTTCTGTGGAACCTGAAGATACTGATGTGTTCAGAATGAGTTCAGCATGATTGAATTATGCACTATTAAGTCTGCATGTTCAGTGATTTTATCATTTGTGGATTGATTCCTGGTATGCTAATGAAGACCTATGTATAGTTTTCTTGATTAACTCATGGCTTAGAACTTGTTACTTTGAGTACTAAACAAGATTTAAGGTGGGTTTTTGTGCGTGTTTTTGAGGTGTTGCATCTGATACCTCAATTATTCATCCCAGGAATTAATGTACAATTAGCATGAATTTCTGCTACCATAGAAATAAATGGCTATGTAAATTTGGATGCCATTCCTGGAACAGTTTAGAATAATAAAAAGTCTGGCATTAATATCTTTGCATTGGCTACAGTTTAGATTTTTAAGAAATTATTTTGTGGCAATAGAAGTTGATTTTGAAGATTTTCTTTTTCTTCTGTTCCATTGTTCCATATATTTCAAACATTGAGCAATAAGTCAATCAAACTCTATATAATTATTTCTTTTTATTTGTGTAAATTAGGCACATGCAAATTTTCTACAATGACTCAATTACTCCCTTTGGGTCTGCTAAGCCAGTCTTCTCCACCCCTGCACCCTCCAGATTTGTTAATTACAACTCCCATAATATCACCCAGTAAATTGACCATCCTGTCTGGGAAGTATGAGATGTGTGGTCCAACAAATTTCAACCCTCCCTTAAATTCCCGCTATGGAGAGGGGATTTAAAAGGAAAAATACCAGCAGAGAACTAGTCTTCCCCACTCATATGTGTGGTCTTGATCCAGATTGGACCTATGGATGCTTACTCTGAAATAAGAAAATAAAGCTGAGTTTCAGACTATTAACAATATGTAACACAGTCACTATAATGCATGTTGTTTAGCCCTGAGATACCTGCACCATTTTGCTCCCCCTCTCCTTGTTTGCATTCCTATCAGTCATAATAAGAATTACAGTGTAGTTGTGTTGTACATTACTGCTACTAAATGCACAAGGAGACAGAACCTCAGTAGTGCTCAGTTTTTTAGAGGGCAATAGTGGGTAAGCGAGACTGGATGGATACGTAAAACATTTCAGTGACCTGCTTTGGTGACAGAATGGTTTCCAATCTCAAATAGCCACTACTGGCTGGTCTACTGGAAGATATCAGTTGAACACCTTTTTTCTACCTTCTCTAGAATCATAAAATCATATAGCTGTAAGAAACCACAAGGGCCATCCAGTCCAGCATCCTATGTTGAAATATCTGTGTATGACAGAATGCCATTTTATGTGGCAGATTATCGACAAAAATAAATGGCTTGCAGATGGACACTACAACTTAAGTTCCTTTCCCCCCGAAATCTGAAACCTAAAATACAAAACTTTTGTCTGCCACCTGCTTACTTCTGTCTTTGGGCAAAGGGGGCTAGTCACACATCCACTGCCCATCATTTCAAATAAAGGAGACTCAGCCTGCATTACTTATATATGCTATTATTTTCTCTTAGCTCTGTGGATTCATGCATGTGTGACAACTTTCTTATCTTCTATAAGAACTTTGGTTTCCTTTCTTCACATCTGTTTCATTGTGATTGAACAGATTAGCCAAAAAGAAAAAAGCAGTCCTCATATGAACTTGATGTTAGACTGACTTCTCTTGGCAGAGGGAATAGAAACAGAATGGAAGCAAAGAAAGAGATGGATTCTGTAAGAAGTGTGGGATGAACATTTGGCAGCTGAGCCCATGAAGCTTAAACAAGTTAATGTCAAATACATACATGTTTTCCCCCTCGTGCCACACTCTTGAAATCATTTATGTACCATGAATCTTTGTTTTTATCTAGAGTTCATTATCATCATGTTATGTATATGTTTCTTCCTACAGAATTAGTTTTCTTCTTCCAGAAGAATGCATTGCTGTATAAATAAGTTGTGGCACTATAGACATATCTGCCAATATTTCACAGATGAAATTATTATTTTATTTATTTATTTCAAATATTTGTACCCCGCCCTTCTCCACCACCGAAGGGGGACTCTGGACGGCTTACAGCCGGCAACAATTCGATGCCCCCCGTATACAAACAGGTAAAACAGCAGTTACAAAATAGGCAAAACATTAATTTAAATTAAAACCATTTAAAATAGTGCAAATTGAGTTGGTTGGCCAAATCTAAATCTGAGTTCTACGATCAACAACTTAGTCCGAAACCTGTCCATAGTCCATTTACCACAGCATTGTCATCATTTAGCAACCTACTATCCAAATGCCTATCCAAATGCCTGGTCCCATAGTCAAGTTTTCAACTTTTTCCTGAAGGAAAGGAGGGAAGCAGTTGACCTAATTTCGCTGGGGAGCGAGTTCCATAGGCGAGGGGCCATTTCCGAGAAGGCCCTGTCTCCTATCCCCACCAAGCGCGTTTGCGACAGAGGCGGGATCAAGAGCAGGGCCTCCCCGGAAGATTGTAAGCTTCGAGGTGGAACATAGGGGGATATGCATTTAGACAAGTAAGCTGGGCCGGAACCGTAAGCTGAGATATCTATGATCAAGCAATATCGGAGTGTGGTCAAGATAATAAAAGTGCTTAATGAGGAAGAGCCCCCAAGCTGAGAGAGATTGCAGTAGTTTGCTTTCTACTTAGTCTACTAGGAAGGGCAAGATTCCAAACTTTCCCCTCCACTGAGTTAAAACTACAAATGCAAGCTTCTTTTGCATTTTGAGCTCAGTTTGCAGCAATGGAAGTAAGTCAAGGACAAAGGAGGAAAAAAAGAAATCTGGGCCTTTTTAAAAGCAGTTGAAACAGTGGGATGATAGAAGATTAATCAGGCCTGTCCCAAACTGGGACATTTTTTTTGGGGGGGGGGGGGGKATTATATATTCATGTATAAGTATGGATGCAAGTCCCTCTATTTTCATACACAAGAGGAATAACATCCAAACTAAAGTGAACTGTAATACTTAATTTGAATAGTCTTGATGTATACTTTTATTATGTCTTTATTTGTTCATTTTCTCAGCGTTAAGCAGCAACATCACAGCAACAGAAAACAAGTAGGTCACTTGAAGCCACCTGCAATAACTATTTTACACTGCAGCTTGTGTGATTTGTGTGTGAGTGTGTGCACATGTTGTAACAAAACAATTTGTCATTCTTGTCACTTGCTGCAGGATATATTTTTAGATCTTTAAGAGCAGAATTGCTTGGGACTGGTTTGAGTGTAACTTTCATCTAGATCCTGCTCTGGCCTGGTTGCACTCTTCAAGGGGTTAAGTTCCAGCTTGCCAATGTGGGCTATTTGATATGAAAACCATCATTGTTTGATATGTCAAATAAAACATTTGTCAATCAAGAATCTCTAAGCACAGGGCTATGTGACATTTACTCTTTTATACACCGACAAAAGTCCCTGGGGGCCTGCCTTTTTTCCTCTCATTTAAATAGTAGTAGGAGAACAAATCATACTTCAGGGCAAGTTGATAACTGCCAGTCACGATTCCTGCCTTGTTTACTATAATGAGGAGGGTAATAAATGCAGCTGACCATTTTAGCTGGCATTTGCATAGATGAATGATTTGGCCAGTCAGTTGCTCTCTTGCGATTTGAGCCTTTTTGTCAGCACAAAGAGCATTCAGTCTCTTTGGAATTTGCAGCCGCCAAGGCTTTCATTAGTAAACATCCTTTACCATGAATGATTCAAATAATTACCCCTGAAATAATAAACTGTTTCACAAAAAACATTTTATTTGATGGCTTCAAAACATCAACTTTCCTGAATTGTTGACATTCAAATAAGCCAGAAAGCGTTATTGTTCGGCCACAACGACCCGCTTGTAAAAGGATGGCCATTGTTTTACCGCCAGGAGACCTTTCAACTTGGCCCACTGTCAAAGGGGGTCTTTCGGTCCAGCAGCCAAGCATTCTGGGTAAGCCGAGGGCATGCGTCAGATGGAGATGCAGGACACAGTGCACTTGGGCTACAAACAGATTTGCATGCAATTTACTTTGAATGTTACAAGCACAAAAAAATGCCGGACTAATTAGCAGCAGCCATGGCTTTTTGTCTATTGACACCTACCATGGTAATAGAATCGGACCCTTTGTTTACACTGAGTTACCACTGTGGATGCTCCCTTATGTAATGGCATTCAGTGAGTATAATTAGGTGCCATTTAATACAGTTTGTTTGAACTCAGATGAGTGAACGAGCAACAATTATACCTTATTATAATCTGTGCTAGTGCGTGGCATTA